TTGCTTTCTATTCCTTGCATTTGTTAGTGCAGCTTGGAACGTTCTGAGCAGGTCTGGGGTTCTACATTCACGGTATGCTTTACCAATCCTCCTAACTGCTGCATGTGTTAGATTGCGTAGCTCTGGATCATTATAGTATTTACATTGATATTTATTGTCATTTATAGTGGAAGGTTTGTTTTCTTTTCCTGCCCACTTGATCTGTGAGGAGTCTCAATAGTGGCAACTAAATCATCATTAATTTTTTGTGTGCCAATGGGCTCGTAATTCTTATACCATTGATCCAAGTGGTTAATAAAGTTGTCTCTGTTCTTGGTTGAGAATAAGTTTCCTCCTTCTGAATTTAGCTTCTTGATTGCTGGAGATATGATCAAGATTGACAGTTGTTAGTCTTGGGAAGTGATCAGATAGAAGATCATCAACTATGACAGAGTCATGCATCGTATATGATGTATTAAATCCAAGACACAGATCTAGTATGCCACCATATAAGTGAGTAGGCTCAGTAGTGCCCACAATTCGAACATTATCATGCTCATTTAGCAATTTCACTAGTTTAGTTCCATTGGTGTTTGTTATAGACCCACCAATATTCTTATGTGTGCCATTAAAGTCTCCAAGAATGAGGGTAGGTTCACTATTGATGCGATCTGGTAAAGCATCAGGTCGAAGCTGGTTCGCTGGGGCATAGAGATTAAAAATGGTTATGGAAAAATCGCCTGCATATACTGTGACACCATGATACTGCATGGTTACTCGACTCTGCAGGGCAAGGAGTGAATGTGGCAAGTTCTTTCTAACATACATCACACAACAGTTGGTTGACCTTAAGTTATAAGCTGCATATCCAGGCAACTTTAGTGTAGGTGCTCCATCTTTCAGTCTACATTCCTGCAAACAGATGATATCAATATTCTTGGCTGCACTAATATGATGTGAGTCAGGCAACCGCTTCCTGATGGAAGCAATGTTCCATGAAAAGATTTATAATGAAATAGAGGGGGGAAAAAAATACCTCATTTGTCAACGGTGTCGCAGTATCTTCCAGAACATTCAGGAAATACTCGCAGTGTCAGTTAATGTGCCTGTGTGAATTTTTCCTATTCAGGCTTACTTTTTCATAATAGCTAGGTTATTCTTAATTTGAATGCCATTCCTATAATAATTATTATTATTATTGTTATTATATTATTATTAAGCAACACGGATCTGAACCTTTGCCTAGAAAAAATTAACTCTGTGGTTCTTGCGATCTGCTCAAGACACATTCCATTAAGAAAAAGAAAGAGACGATATAAACTAGAAAGAGAGAGACGCTCCCTATACAGACGAAGGCGAAGAATCACAGAGCTGCTGAGAGGGGTCAATATATCTGAAATACGAAGGGAAGCACTAGTCAATGAAATAGCAAATATCAAACTTAAGCTGACGGAATCTTACAGGAGACAAGAATCGCAGGAAGAACTAAAAGCCATAAAATAAATTAAAAAAATACTTCTTTTATGCCAAATCTAAGGGAAACCCAATATCCAGTATTGGGCCCCTGCTTACCTGGAGAGGGTTTCGGGGGTCAACGCCCCTGTGGCTCGGTCTGAGACCAGGCCTCATGGTGGATCAGGGTGTGATCAACCAGGCTGTTACTTCCAGCTGCAGGAAAACTGACGTACGAACCACAGCTCGGTTGGTCAGGTACTGGCTTTAGGTACCTGTCAAGTGCCTTCTTGAAGACAGTCAGGGGTCTGTTGGTAACCCCTCTTATGTATGCTGACAGGCCTAAAATTTCTCCAAAATGGATGTTTTTTGTTAATGTGTCTGTCATTTACTATGTAATATTCTTTCACTACTTTCTGTCTTTCAAGCACACACACACACACACACACACACAAAAAAAAAAAAAAAAAAAAAAAAAAAAAAAAAAAAAAAAAATCCTCCCTTTCACTGTCGAGACTCCTGCTTACAAATTTACTCAGTGTCGAAGAATTTAAAGAAATTAATTTTTTTCTTATGAAATGATAAAGAATCTTTTCTTAATGGTAATGAAACCAAAAGTACGAAATTTGATGGAAAATTAACAGAATTACTTTCTCATAAAGTTAGCAGTCTGGCGATATTTATGCATCGTCGATTTCGCCCACTTTGAGCCTTATTTTTGGTCAATTCCACTGTTCCAGTCAACCAAACTCATAGCTACTTCGCTAGAATCCTTTTCTTCTATTGATTGACTACAAGAAACTGCCCATTTACCAATTTCAACCTCCCAATAAAGTGATAAAAAATTGGTGATTTGGCCAATTTTATACAAAATTCAAGGAAAGCCAATTTCAAATGAACATTTTCTCTGTTCATTAGTTACTTCTCTAGGCCCCTCTTATATTATGCTTGCTTTCCATTTTGAATTTTCATTAACACAGAAATAGAAGATTTACTGTTATGCAGACTACTGCATTATTGTAAAAACAGTGTAAATAATATCAGCGCATTTGTGAAAGCTTATCAAACTCACCAGTTGACGTGTATTGGATGTGTGATGTGATTTGTATTCTGTTAAACATCAACAAAAATCAAACATTTCCACTACTTTGAGCTCAATTTCAAGGTACTTTTAGTCTATAAACTATTCAAAATCACAGACATGCACAGATGACAGCCAAAAAATGAGCGAGATACTAAAGTCCCAGTACGACTCAGTGTTCAGCAAGCCGCTGCCCAGAGTAAGGGTCGACAATCCAAATGAATTCTTTATGAACGAGACCCAAAATTTGGTCATCTCAAAAATCTCTGATGTTTTCCTAACACAACAAGAATTTGAAAAGGCAATAAATGGCATACCTATGCACTTTGCCCCAGGCCCAGACTCATGGAACTTCGTGTTCATCAAGAACTGCAAGAAGCCCCTGCCACGTGCCTTCAACATTCCATAGAGAGGGAGCATGGACACAGGGGTCATCCCACACTCACTAAAAACAACAGACAGCCCCACTCTACAAAGGTGGCAGTAAATCAATTGCAAAAAACTACAGGCCGATAGCACTAACATCCCATATCATAAAAACCTTTGAAACGGTTCTAAGAAGCAAGATCACCAACTACCTAAATACCCATCAGTTACACAAACCAGAGCAACACGGGTTTAGAGAAGGTCGCTCCTGCCTGTCCCAGCTACTGGACCACTATGACAAGGTCCGGGATGCTATAGAGGATAACCAAATGCAGATATAGTATACACAGACTTTGGAAAAGTCTTCGACAAGTGTGGCCACAGACTGTAATAGCACACAAAATTCGTGATAAAGGAATAACGGGAAAAGTGGGTAGATGGATCTATAACTTCCTGACAAACAGAACACAAAGACTAATAGTAAACAAAGTCTGAGGCAACTGCAGTGTGATGAATAGTTTTGAAAACCGACAAGTTGAAGAATTAAGACACTTATGCAACATATGGAAATCTTGTTTGAAGAAACGTTTCGCCACACAGTGGCTTCATCATCTGATGAAGCCACTGTGTGGCGAAACGTTTCTCCAATAAAGATTCTCATATGTTGCATAAGTGTCTCAATTCTGCAACTACAGTGAAAAACTGTGATCCACAAGGCACAGTACTCGCTCCCATCCTATTCCTCATCCTCATATCTGACATAGACAGAGATGTAAGTCATAGCTTTGTGTCTTCCTTTGCGGATGACACCCGAATTGCCATGACAGTGACCTCCATGGAAAACACCACGAGACTCCAAGCGGACAATAACCAAATCTTTAAATGGGCCACTCAAAACAATATGAATTTCAACGAAGATAAATTTCAACTACTCAGATATGGAAAACTTGACGAAATTAAAACTGTATCAGGGTATATCACAAATTCTAACCATACAATAGAACGAAAAAGTAAAGTGAAGGACCTGTGAGTGATAATGTCAGAGGATGTCGCCTTCAAAGACCACAACAATGTATCTACCGTATATGCTAGGAAAATGATAGGATGAATAATAAGAACCTTCAAAACTAGGGATGCCAAGCCCATGATGATTATCTTCAAATTGATTGTTCTCTCTAGGCTGGAATACTACTGTACACTAACTGCCCCCTTCAAGGCTGGCGACATTGCTGACCTGGAGAGTGTACAAAGAACTTTCACGGCACACATAAGTACAATAAGGCACCTAAGTTACTGAGAACGATTGAAATCCCTTGATTTGTATTTCCTGGAATGCAGGAGAGATACATGATAATATACATTTGGAAAATCCTAGAGGGATTAGTACCAAAAACTGGACAGGAGATGCAACATTCCCCCAATGAAAAGCAGGAGCACCACGAGTACACTGAGAGAAACACAGTAAGTGCCAGGGGCCCAAGACTGTTCAAGTGCCTCCCAGCATGCATAAAGGGGATTACCAATAGACCCCTGGCTGTCTTGAAGAAGGCACTGGACAGGCACATAAAGTTGGTACCTGACGAACAGGACTGTGGTTCGTACGTCAGTTTGCGTGAGGCCAGCAATAGCAGCCTGATTGATCAGACCATGATCTACCACAAAGCCTGGTCTCAGCCCGAGCTGCGGGGGCGTTGACCCCCGAAACCCTCTTCAGATAAAAGATTGGGTGGTAGTTGAAGTGAAATATTCGAATTGCTTCAAGAAGAAATTCAAATATTTTTCATTGAATCCTTTTTATCCACTTTTGAATCATTAACAGAACTGCGGCTTGCCAGGATTCCATCCTGCGTCACAGTATCCAGCCCTGTGGGAACAGGACAAAGTATTCATCCCTTTATCCAGTTGACCAAATGATGCTAATCACGTGACAAAGTTTTATAATGTAAAGGATAAATCGCATCGTAGTAGGCTGCTAGTGTACTCTGTATGAATCACGTACCACTAAGGTACCGGAAACTGGTTGTACGACACATGCGCTACAACATTGCAGCGCATGCGCAGGCGGTGTACTGTTTATATATATGAGGCCTCCACGTGCCACCATCACCAGTAGAAGACTCGGGTTGGGACGTGATACACCAGGATCAGTTAACGTGTGCCATAACTCTGCTGTACACTGAAGGTCAGATACACTTCCATTTATTTGATCAAAACTCGTCCTGTTAACTAGTGTAGTGGCATTTTACGGTATTCTGAAGGAACAGTCATCTGATACTATTTATTAAGTTGGTACAGTTAATAATCTTGCCTTCAGACAATTTTATTATACTTAACCTAGGATTCAAATACTATAACTTAGATTATACAAGTATATAATGTCAACCCATTTTGAAACGAGGATCTATATTCTGAAAATAAAATTTATGTGGGCAAATATCTAATTATCTGTTGCCCCAATTATCTAGTAATATACGTATGTAGTTAGTAACTCAGGAGTTACTAGGCTGGTGTGTGGTAACTGAGGAAGACCTGGGGAGGCACCGTGAACGTTGCCTTGGTTATGGGTTACTATTATATTCACGGGAAGCGCTAAACCCGTAGGGGGTCATACAGCACCTGGGGTAATGGAAAGCAGACTCGACTCAAGATTTGGAAAAAAAAAGGGGTCGGATTCCTTAGTTTAAGAGCTTACCAGCGTGTAGGATTCTTCCTTCAGGAGTCCAGGATTATTAGTATCCAGGTTAATAATCTGAATGAAGTCAGGTGAAGCAACATCGTCATTATCATGGGAAAGTGATAAACTTGTATGGGGGAGGGAGTCATACCTCACCTGAAGACTGGGAGATCATCAGGTTTGATCCAAGGAAGGGATGGGAAGCCAGTGACCAGCATCAAGGTACCTTCCCTTGATGAAGTGAAGCAACCGAGTGAGCGCTATTATTACATTCATGAGGTGAGAACTAAAGCCGTAGGGGCCATATACAGTGCCTCTGGGAATGCCAGGTAATAGATCAAAGGAAGGTGAGATACCTGCCTGGAGGACTGACACCTCAAAACTACTCTTTACATCTCTACTTTTGCTGCCGCCTTTGTATTCGACTGAAGAAGCTTAACCGTGTAGGTGAAACGTTTCGGAATAATTGCTTATCAACATGTTAATATTGTATAACATCATATTCAAGAGTAACGTTGCAAATGGCAGCTAATGATGTAGAAAGGTTAACGTCCCGTAGCTCAGTGGTAAAGTGGTGGATAAGATAAGATTTCATTCGGATTTTTAACCCCGGAGGGTTAGCCACCCAGGATAACCCAAGAAAGTCAGTGCGTCATCGAAGACTGTCTAACTTATTTCCATTGGGGTCCTTAATCTTGTCCCCCAGGATGCGACCCACACCAGTCGACTAACACCCAGGTACCTATTTGCTGCTAGGTGAACAGGACAACAGGTGTAAGGAAACGTGTCGAAATGTTTCCACCCGCCGGGAATCGAACCCGGGCCCTCCGTGTGTGAAGCGGGAGCTTTTAGCCACCAGACCACCTAGTAATCTCAGGACCAAGGTTCGACACCAGTGCTCGTACCTAAATTTTTGGTATGAAATGGTAAAAAAAAAAAATTGCACTTTGGACTAGTGTACTTCTACTAGTAACTAGAAGATCCTATTGTACAGTGTACGTGACTTACTGATAAAGCTAGTGACTGCTGAAACATTCCCACGATAAAAATACCCAAATGTTGCACAGGACTCATTCTAAAATAATATATATAATATATATATATATATATATAATATATATATATATATATATATATATATATATATATATATATATTATATATATATATATATATATATATATATATATATATCTCTATCTATCTATCTATCTATATATATCTATATCAGTTCCGGATCAGCCGGGCTGTGGCTCGTATGTTGGTTTGCGTGCAGCCAGCAGCAACAGCCTGGTTGATCAGGCTCTGATCCACCAGGAGGCCTGGTCTCAGACCGGGCCGCGGGGGCGTTGACCCCCGGAACTCTCTCCAGGTAAACTCCAGGTCCAGGTATATATATATATATATATATATATATATATATATATATATATATATATATATATATATATATATATATATTATATATATATATATATATATATATATATATATATATATATATATATATATATATATATATATATATATATATATATATATATATTAGTGGCCTGGTGGCTAAAGCTCCCGCTTCACACACGGAGGTCCCGGGTTCGATTCCCGGCGGGTGGAAAACATTTCGACACGTTTCCTTACACCTGTTGTCCTGTTCACCTAGCAGCAAATAGGTACCTGGGTGTTAGTCGACTGGTGTGGGTCGCATCCTGGGGGACAAGATTAAGGACCCCAATGGAAATAAGTTAGACAGTCCTCGATGACGCACTGACTTTCTTGGGTTATCCTGGGTGGCTAACCCTCCGGGGTTAAAAATCCGAACGAAATCTTATCTTATCTTATATATCTAAGAGCTATTTATAATATATTTTTTTGTCTTTAGTGTATATACATGAGATTTGTTAATAAATTTTTTTAGTGAAGTTAAATTGTATTATTTTAATTTGTGGTGGTTTCTGGAATAAAATAAAATTTTAAGTTTTGAGTAGCAAGTAGATAAATAGCAGATACTTCCATCAGCTGATAGTTCAAACTATGATGGTGGTCGCCGCAGTGAAATATTTCTTTATTTTAATTAATTAAATGAACGACGGGCTCTACCCTGGACTTAGATGGTGAGGTCAACTTTTTCAGGCTGTGAGAATTTGTTCCCTTTGTTTCTATTATATTGGAATGATACAAGATGGAAATAAGACATTTTTTATACGTGGGATCTACACAATATATTAGTTATTTCTTGGGTATATAGATATTCTTGGAGATATTAGCGAAAACTGCATGTTTGGGCCTCCCCGTCCCTGGGGCAGCAGGGCAGACAAGGTCTAGTACTGCTGGCTGGCCAATCACAGCCAAGTAAACAAAGACGCAGCGGATGTAAGAAAAAGCTTGATGGCTGAGCAAGGTTAAGTTAGGTTACGTTATTTAGGTTGACATGTAAATGATTCATATTGGACCAAAATGTTGTCATAAGTTTCTGTTATATTCGTGTTATTTGTGTGTAGGTTTTATTTAGTTGTGTAATCTTTACATTTACACAATATAATAAGATCTAGTGTAAAACCCAGTAAGTATTATTAGTTAAAAACTTTTGTTGACCGAAATCCGCCGAGGTGCAACATTTAGTTATTATCTCTTATTTCTGTCCCTTCAAAAGGGGATTGCCTTGATATTTTTGAAGGTTCTTGATCCAGGGACTTTAGTACTACTCTTCCTTGAATCCAGTCTGGTTGTTTTCCATCCTCAACTTTACAATATTGATGGTAAAGAGTCGTACAAAAAATAACGCATCACTTAGCTAAATATTAGATAGATAAATTTCCATTGACTTTAGTATGAATTATCATGTTGAAATTGTCCTACCTGGAGTTTATTTGGAGAGGGTTTTGGGGGTCAACGCCCCCACGGCTCGATCTGAGACCAGGCCTCATGGTGGAGCATGGTTTGATCAACCAGGCTGTTACTGCTGGCTGCACACAAACTCGCATATGAACCACAGCCCGCTTGGTCAGGTACTGACTTCAGGTGCCTGTCCAGCGCCTTATTGAAGACAATCAGGAGTCTGTTGGCCGTTGAACAGTCTTGGGCCCCAGACACTAGAGAGAATTTGTCATGTTGGTTTGTGCGCAGCCAACAGTAACAGCCTGGTTGATCAGGCTCTGATCCACCATGAGGCCTGGTCACAGACCGGGCCGCGGGGGCGTTGACCTCCGGAACTCTCTCCAGGTAAACTCCAGGAGGATTAATAACCCAGGATTACTCAATATTCAGGATGTCATCAAGGATCATTTTACTTTCACTGGGGTCCTTTAATTCTTTCCCTCAGGATGTGGCTCACACCAGTTACCAAACACCCATGTATCTACTTCTAGGTAAACAGTAAGTTTATTCAGGTATGCACAAATAGTTATATAGATTATCATGCATAGTGGCATGTGTGTAGAGAACTTAGCATAACCCAAAAAAGTTAGACAAATGACTTGCTTCCATTGGGTATAGGGAAACATGCTCAGTGTTTCCACTTGTTGGGGATTTAACCTAGGTCCCTCAGTCTGCAAGTTGAGACAGCTACCAACTGAGTCACGAGGCACCTGGCTAGTGTATGAAGATACAGAAGTGGTTTGCCAGGAGTATCAAAGAAAAGGCATATGCAAATTATGCCTTTATTGTGGCAATGTTTCTATATAGATTATTACAATGTCAGCATTTCAGTGTTTAAAGACATGAAGCGAACAGAAGTATGTGTGGTATTAACATAAAAAAAAAAAAAATATAGGGCCTTGAGTCAAGGTCTAGGTGTTACCTAAAATTTGGTTTTGTGATGATTGTATTAATAATTGGATTGAGGAAATATCTGAGGTAGAACCTCAGACACAAATTCCTTAAGTGAGGTAGGGTAAATGGGAGAAATGTTAGTAGTGTAGATTGAAGAACATAATGAATTTTCGAAAGCTGAATATGAGGATTAAATTTTAATTTGTCTACAAATGCATACAGATTTTCCCATTTGTTCTTTATTTTTAATTCATTTATTGTGCTATCTAATTTTGGACATGATTTATTCCCAAAAGTTGTATAGAATGTCTTTTCTACATTAAGTGCCAGTTTATTTATTATCTTTTGTTTTTAGTTTATCAATGACTATAGTGTCATCAGCAGAGAATATTGGTTGATTAAGATTGTTTGGATTTTTAATCTGAAAGGTTAGCCACCCAGGATAACCCAATGACATCAGTGTCATCAGGGACTGTTTATATTTTGGGGTCCTTTAATCTTATCCCCTAGGTTGACTCTCAACAGTGAACTAACACCCAGGTACCTACTTTAAGTGAACAGGGGCATCAGGTTCAAGGAAACATGCCCAACATTTCACCTGTGCTGGGATTGATCCCAGGTCCTTCATGGGCGAGCTGAGGAGTCTAGCAGCTGGGTGGCTATCTGTTAGTTACTGATATAAAGGAGAACAAGAAGGGGGTCCAGGATGCTACCTTGGGAAAAATGTAACTTAATTGGTAAGATGTATAGTTCAAGAAGTATTATTAGTGACTGTTCAGTTGTATGCACATGTATTTGAAGAACGAAATATGTAGGGGTGCTCTTTGAGTTCATTGTTAAGTTTATGAAGAATATTATGGTCAGCCACATCAAAAGCATTACACAAATCAATAAAAAGCCCTGTTCAATACTTGTTTTTTCAAATGTTGCATAAACTGTCAAGCATTTTTGATTGCATCATTAGTGTTTTATTTTTTAAAGTCTTGAACCAAGTTGACAAGGAGTAAGCACATAATGGTAGATTAGATGTTCAGTAATTATTCACTTCTCTTTAATCGCTACTTTTTTGTACAGGTTATCGTAGGTCTTGTTAACTCTTAAACTGTCTTAAACGTAGATCTACATTCACTCGAGTAGCACTCTGAACGTAGATCTACGTTTTATTTTTACATGCCTTCAAATGTAAAATAACAGTACTTTCAGAGCGCTATGCGAGTGAACGTAAAGAAAATGCCTGGAACTAGTGCTGATGTTAGTGAATTTAAGGCCAGCGAAGGCTAGTGTGAGAGATTTAAGAAGTATAGTGGCATAGTGTGGTAAGGCATGGCAAGGCTGCAAGTTCTGATAAATATGCAGCTGAAAAATGTTCAGGAATTCAAGGGGTACATAGAGGCTGAACAATTCAAACCCCAACAAGTGTTCAGTTGTGAGGAAACGGGCCTCTTTTGGAAGAAAATGCCAAAGAGGACCTATATCATGCAGGAGGAAAAGGCCCTCCCAGGACACAAACCTATAAGACAGGCTAACTTTCATATTCTGTAGTAATGCTAGTGGAAATTTCGAAGTGCCGCCTTTACTGGTGTATCGCTATGAAAATTCCAGTGTTCAAGAAAGTGTCAAGATTAAATTGTGTGATGTGGAAGGCAAACAGTAAAGCATGGGTCACGAGGGAAATTTTCCTCGATTGGTTCAATGAAGTGTTTAGCCTGAGTGTGAAGAAATACCTCTTGGAAAATAAGCTGAAGGTGCCTCCTCGTACTGGACAATGCTCCTGCTCATTCTCCAGACTTGGATGACCAAATTGTGGAGGAGTTTCAGTTCATCACAGTGAAGTTCTTTCCCCCTAATACCACTCCTTTCCTCCAGCCCATGGACCAGCAGGTCATTTCAAACTTCAAAAAACTCTACACCAAAGCAATGTTTCATAGGTGCTTTGACATAGCCTCGGACACTGAATTGACCCTAAGAGACTCCTGGAAAGATCACTTCAGTATCCTCTATTGCGTAACCCTTAGGATGGAGTGACTTTCAGGACTTTGAAATCTACTTGGAGAAAATTGTGGCCAGAATGTGTCCAAGAGGAATTTTGAAAGGTTTGGGGCTCAGCCTGACAAGCCTATGGCAGTTGTGGAAAGTATTGTGGCATTGGAGAATTCCATGAGGGTGGAGGTGAGTGGCAAGGATGTGGAAGAATTGGTGGAGGACAACAGGGATGAGCTAACCACTGAAGAGCTGCAAGGCCTTCATCTGCAATAGCAACAGACCACAGCTCAGGAAATTGCTTCAGAGGACGAGGAAGAGATGGAAGAAGGTGCCTTCTTCAAAGATTAACCCTTCGACTGTTTTGGTCGTATGTATACGTCTTACGAGCCAGTGTTTCGAACATATGAATACTCAATAATTCTAGCGGCTTCAAATCGAGCAGGAGAAAGCTGGTGGGCCCACATGTGAGAGAATGGGTCAGTGTGATCAGTGTGCACCACAAAAAAAAAACTCTGCAGCACGCAGTGCATGAGAAAAAAAAAACTGACCATTGTTTTTTGGATTAAAATGCTGATTTTGAGGTGTATTTTCATGTAGTATTTATCGTTGTATTCTCGTTTTCATGGTCTCTCGTGATAAAATGGAAAACATATTGCAGAAATAGAGATGATTTTGATTAGTTTCACGATGAAAACTACTTTGAAATTGAGCTCAAAGTAGCGGAAATGTTAGATTTTTACCAATGTTCAAGAGTAAGCAAATGACACCACACGTCCAATACACGTCAACTGGGGAGTCTAATATTCTTTCACTAGTGCACTGATATTATTTATACCATTTTTACAGTAATGTAGTAGTCTGCATAAACAGTAAATTTTGTATTTTTTGTATGAATAAAAAATCAAAATTGAAAGCAGTAGTAATATAGGAGGGGCCTATAGATGTGACTTATGAACAGAGGATGTTATTTTAGTGCCAAGAATGTCTACATTGTTTATTCTGGACCCTATTTTGAAATTGGCATCTTTTTTTAATTTGTGTGAAATTGGCCAAATTGCCAATTTCTGACTACTTTATTGGGTAGTTCAAATCGGTAAATGGGCAGTTTCTTGTACTCGATTGATAGAAAAAAATGGAGTTCTAAAGAAATAGTTGGGTTTGGTCAACTGGAACAGTGGAATTGGCCATAAACAAGGCTCAAAGTCTGCGAAATCACTGATGCATATATGTTGCCGAGACTGCTAACTTTTGAGGGAGCGTAATTCCGTGAGTTTTCGACCAAATTTCGTACTTTTGGTGTCATTACCATCGGGAAAAGATTCTTCCTTTCGTAATATTTTTTCAAAAAATTTTGCGATGTAGACTGACAGTTTAAGAAAGGGGCTTGTGACAGTCAAAGGGTTAAGGACATTTGTGCAAAGTGGAGTGAGGTGCAAACATTTATGGATGAATGTTACCTTGACAAAGCTTGTGCAGGCCGTGTTGGCAACATGTACAATGACAGTCTCGTGTCCCATTTTAGGGAAATTTTAAACGCCAGAAACAGAGCTCTCTGGAACGATTTTTTGAGCGACAGGGGTCCAGTGACTCTAAAGCTGGTCCTAGTGGCATTAAAAAAAAACCAAAGAAGGGAAGTAACTCCAGAAAAGAACTTGGTACCTGAAGTTTTTATGGAAGCGAATTACCCTTCCGAACAATAGTAACACTATCCTCTCCCATCTTCCATACATCAACAAGTGTTCAGTAAAGGTAAGTGTCATGTTGTTATTGTTTATTCTTCATGTCTCGTTATTTTCATTGTACGTAAATGTATATTTCATGTAAAAAAATTATTTTTTTTAATACTTTTGGGTGTCTGGAACAGATTAATTGAATTTACATTATTTCTTATGGGGAAAATGAATTCGGGTATCATCAAATTCGGTTTTAGTCACTCTGAAATGGATTAATTACAATAACCAGGGGTCCACTGTACTGAAATGGCTGAGATAAAGCTTTTGCTGCCTTCCTGTAGATATTGATGGGTATTTCTTTCTGGTGTGGAACACTAGTCTGATATTTATTGGAGAGATGACATAGAAGGGTAACCATGATTCTGTGAAATTTCAGTTTAATATTGTTGCTTAAATTATGTATACTTAGACAGTAAATTCAAACTTTACCTTAACTTTTACTATTCCTAAATTTGATTTAAACTAATCCTTATCTGGAATTCAAATACATTTATTTTTTTTACACTTCATTAACCCTTTCAGGGTCGACAGGCCCTCTACCAGACTTTCTCAGGGTTGCCCAAATTTCAAAAAAAAAAAATTATTTTTTCTTATGAAAGGATAAGAGAATCTTTTCCTGATCATAATGACACCAAAAGTATGAAATTTGATGGAAAACTTGTGCAATTATGCTCTCGCGAAGTGAGCGGTCTCGATGTTTACACATCGGCGATTTTGCCCACTTTGAGCCCTATTTTCGGCCAATTCCAGTGTACTAGTCGACAAAAATATAACTATTTCGCTAGAACTCCATTTTTTCTATTGAATGAGTACAAGAAACTACTCATTTACCGATTTCAACTATCCAATACAGTGGTCAGAATTTAGCAATTTTGCCAATTTCATACAAATTTCAAAAGAGC